TTGTAAGTTTGATTCCTGGTACCGCAAAAAAAAAAAAGAAAAAAGAAAAAATAGTAGGAAAGTACTCCAGCTTGAGCAGCTGGAGGGAACATACTGTGATGAAGGGCATCAAACTGGCCTGTCCATAAAAAAGTGGAGACCAGGTTTAAAGGGTATAATGTAGTAGACTGTGGTTTGGTCAGTTGTTATGTCTGTCTTGGTTTTGTAGATCTAGAGGAATCCTGGCTTGAGGGGTGATTCCATCCTCTTGAAGTGGTTATCTTTGTGGTAGTTTTAGTCATGTGAGGCTCTGCTTTTCCTAGGTTCCAAGTAACTGTCAGTTTAGGACAATGGCTGGAGGCTTAGATGTTGTTTCAAAGGGAAAGGGCCTGGAACTGGACATTGTAAAGGCTGGTAATTGGATGTCTCTCTGAATTCTGGACACTGCTTTAGTTACTCTTTATCTTGGTTTCCTCCATCTTGAAGGCAGATGAGATAGGTAGGTAAATTTAGGCTAATAAACTTCATTCGGCTGACTTTTAAAAAAATGAATAATGTACCTATATCTACAGTTTTAAGGTAATAAAGGGTGTATTAAATGAAGGCTGAGTTTTGTTTTATTATACCTAAGAGGTAAGTCCAAGTGAAGCGTCACTGTTTTAACCAAAAAACCATTTTTAAGTCTCTAATTGTCTCAGAAGAAAACACAAATCATACTTTTGAGTAATAGGTTATTTGTCCTTTGTCCCTATTCTGGTCCCTGACTATCTCAGATTTATGGCCAAAATAATTGTGTTCAGAAGATACTTGGGTTATGCAATTCATTTGAAATAAAGTCCACCTGTTTCTATTGTGTACCATTTTACATGTTCCCATCTTCGTTTCCCCCCCATCTTTGTTTATTTAGTTAATTTATTTATTTTGGGTATGTGAAACACTAGTGTGGTTTTAGAACTGTATGAGAAGATATATTCAGACAGACACATGCCCTCCATTCCTTTTTACTCTGTTCCCATTCACCTTTTGGATATAAGGGGTTTTTTTTATTTGTTTTTTGTTTTTTAATCCTTCCAATGTTTCATTTTGCATGAATATAAAGCTATATTTACATTTAAAAATTTTCTCTCCCTTGCTTCCTGTCTTGTACTGGTATTGAACCCAGGGGCACTCTATCACTGAGCCCACCCCTTTTTAAAATTTTTTATTTTGATACAGGATCTTGCTGAATTGCCCAGGCTGGGCTTGAACTTTCAGTTCTGCTTCAGCTTGCTGTAGCTTGCTGAGTAGCTGGGATTACAGCTGTGCAAATCTGACCATGCCTAGTTTAAATATTCCCTTTCTGATACAGAGGGTGCCTTCTTTTTTCATTTTGCTTATTTTCACTTAAAGTATTCTAAAAATATCTCTTTATCAGTTTATAGCAATCTTACTCTTTTTGTAGGCATCTAATAATTTCGTTGTGTTCACTAACGGGAGCTATATTAATTTTGTTGTGTATAGGCACTTAAGGTCTACTAGTATTTTACAGTGAAAAACAATGCTGGAATGAAATAGCCCTTGTGCATATGTTTTTTTTACTATTATTGGAGATGGGACTTCAGGCTAAATCCCTAGAGTGAACAAAAGGTAAACCTTGCATGTGTAACTTTGTTATATATTGCCTAATCCCTTTCATTAGGCTTATATCAAGATGGTTTCCACATGCAGCTTAAAAGTGTGCCTGTTTCTTCACATCCTTCCCAGAAGGATATGTTGTCATACTTTTGCTTTTGCCAAGCTGGTAGGTAATAATAGGTGGTGTATCAGTGTCTGGATTTTCATGGTATTTTTTAATTTATAATTTTTTTGGCCATGAAAAGGATTTTAAGCCTTTTTGAGATTAAAATTTTGGTTTTTAAAAAGATTTTAATTTTTGTATGTTCAAGTTCATCAGTTCATTATGATTTAAGATTTTGAGTCATAGATTAAAAACCTTAGACTTATTTTTGATATGGTGTGAAATAGACTTTGATTTAATTTTTTACTTTGTGAAATACAAATGGCCTAGTACTATTTACTGGAAAGCTCCTGTATTCTGTACGGCTTCTTTAACCATAAATCAAATGTCTCTATATGGACTACCTTCCACTGGGTCTGAACCCAGGGCCTTTGCTCTCAGCTATATCCCTGGCTCTTTTTATTTTTATTTTGAGGCAAAGTCTTGCTAAGTCACTAATTTTACCCAGGTTAAATTTGACCTTCTGATTCTTCTGTCTCGGCCTCCCAGACTGCTGGGATTATTGGTGTGTACCACCATTCCTGGCTCTTTGTGGACTTTTTCTTTTCAGAGGGTCCAACCCAGTGCTTCACAAATGTAAGGAAAGAACCCTACCACAGAGCTGTACCTCTACCCATGGATTATTACTCAGTTTTACTGGTCTGTTCTTGTGCTGATCCTGTGTGATCTGAATTGTTAATGCAGGGTTTGTAACTTAGTACCCCGGTAGATGTTTACTTTTGCCATGACGCAAAAGCAAATTATAACCAGGGAAGTGTGATGATTAAGTGATTTTTTTCATTTGATTATCTACATAGGGTCGTTGTGGCTGGGGATATAGCTCAGTGGCACAAATACCTGCCTGGCAAGTGCAAGGTTCGGAGTTTGATTTCCGGTAACAAAACAAAACAAAAAATATAGGATGGTGATCAGATGTACTTACTGTAAAAGAAAAGATTATTTCGCTTATGATAGAAGGAAAATTAGTTCAAAGATAAACTCAGCCTATATTAATAGTAGAAAAGATATTTGAAATTAGAAGAGTATATGGAGTTTATATCCTGTGAGTTTATATATTGATAGCAAAAAAGATTTTTGATTTGATTTTTTTTTTTTTACATCATCGTGATAGTGAGTTTTTATTAGCAGAAACAAGTCTTAAGGAGTATAAACAGCTGGGTATGGTGGCATCTCAGTACTTGGGAAGCTAAAGCAGGAGGATCACCGTGACTTGAAGGCCAACCTGGGCTACGTATTAAATTCAAGGCCTGCCTGAACTACGTTGAGACCCTGTCTCCAAAAGGAAAAAAAAAAAAAGTGTGTGTGTGTGTTACAATGTCTCTGTTCCTCTTTATTGTAGCTATGCTACATTACCTATAATGTGACAGCCCTAAAGTACAGTACTAGACTTTAGTTCTATTTAATTACTTGAAAACACTGATTTCTATTTTGCCTTATTTTTATTTTGTTATGGTTTTGAGCTTCCAACCCAGTGCCTTGAACATGCTAAACAGTGTACCACTGAGCTTTACCCCCAGCCCCTCTACCTCTTTTAAAGTATTTTTACTTACCTAATAGTGCTATATTATAACTCAAATGATGTGTTCTCATTAAATGGAGTCACTGTTAATTAGAACTGGAAGAAACTTCAGAAATTAGTTACATATGAACCATTTTAATTTGTAGAAATGAATTCATTACAATTATCCAAGAGCTCCCTAATATGGCCCCTATAGAAGACAGCATAAATCAAGAGGCTAACTTGCGTCTTCACCTTAAGGAGATAAAACTTTTTGGTTCCTTTATTACAAAGTAGTTTTCCTTTTTTCCACAGCTTTTTTTTTTTTAAATTAAGTTTATTGATACATTTTAGATATACATAATGATCACATTCATCATAAGGAGTTTGTACCTATACATGATATATCTTCATCTTTTTTATCCCCATTTCCCTACCCTTCCTTCAACCCCTCTTCCCCTCCTTATTTACAAAAGCTTTGTTTCCATTTTTTCCTTGTTTTCTCATTTTTTTTCTTTTTCCCTTCCTTCCTTTCCCTTCCCCTCTTCCAAGTTCCCCTTCCCAACTGAATGTTTTCTTCCTATTTCACAATATCTTTTATACATTTGGGTCCTTATTTACACTTCTGGTTTCTCACACCAGAGAAACAGTGTGGTATTCACACATGTATGTCTGATTTATTTCACTTAAGAGTATGATCTCAAAGTGCAACTATTTAGCTAGAAATGTCTCAAAGCTATCCTTTATGACAGAGTCGTACTCCATTATATTAAAAACATCTTCATTTTCATCAGTTCATGGACATTTGAGCTATTTCCAAGGTTTACTTATTACAAACTATGCTGTTTATAAACATGGCTGTACATATATCACTGTGGTATGATGCTTTTAATTCTTTCAGTGAGATACCAGGAAGGGGAATAGCTGTGTCAAATGGGACCTCTCTCTAGTCCTTGTTTTTTTTGAGGCATCTCCATACTGATTTCCACAGTGGTTGTACCAGTCTATACTCCCACCAGCAGTGGAGAAGGACTCCTTTTTCTCCACAATCTCGCCAGCATTTATTACTGATTTCTTGATAATAACCATTCTTTCTTGAATGAGGTGGAGTCTCAGTGTTGTTTTTAATTTGCATGTCTTAAATGACTACTGATGTTGAACATTTTTCCATGTATTTATTTGCCATTTCTACTTCTTCATCTGATAAGTGTCTATTCATTTCAGATGCCCATTTTTGGACTGGGTCTTTAAATTTGAGGGTTTTTTTTTTTTTTTTTTGAGTTCTTTTTATATTCTAGATAGTAATCCTTTGTCTTAGGAAACCCTGTGAAACTTCTCTCTAGAAATTCGAAGGTGACCCTTCCTGTGCCCATATAGAACTGTCTGAGGTAGCCCATGTGGCTTCACTGAGATGCCTCCTGCCATGAGTCACATCCTAAATGAAAAAGTAATAAGGATGGTGTCTTTACTTTTCCCATCTGTCACTGAATCTGGGACACGTAGACATATAACAGACATCCATAAAATCTTCATAAAATGGTGTATATAATTTTATTATCTTAAAAAGAAGCCTGTGATTGTTTATACACAGATTCTCTTTCTATAGTGCAGTAGGGTGTACTGCTTACTAAATGTCAGAAAGTCTTGGTAGAGCTCTTAAACTAAAAGTTAAGAGCTTTGTGTAGTTTTGAAATATTTAATTTTACTCCATGCAGTCATCCTTTAAACATTTTCTGTTGCTTCTAGACCAAGAGCAGTGATGATCTTTTAGCTGGAATGGCTGGAGGGGTGACAGTGACGAATGGTGTTAAAGGAAAGAAAAGCGTCTGCCCATCTGCAGCATCTTCAGCATCTACCCCTGCCATGACCACTGTGGAGAACAAACCCAAGATCAACACAGGTATGGGTGACATTCCATCTGAGATGTCAGTTGCCTTTTGTTTAAATAGATACAGTGCATTGTTCTTTGGGGTACTCCACCTAAATATAATTTTAAAAAAGATAAATTCAAGCATATGCAAAAGTACACGTTTTCATCACTCTTACCAACTTAAAACTCCAGCATGCAATGCTGGAGATTAAAGCTAGGCCTTTTCACATGCTATGCAACTGTTCTACTGAGCTACACTTCCAAGCCCCTTATTATTTTGAAGCCAATTGCAGATATCATATAATTTCATCCATAAATATTTCATTATCTTTTAAAAACATAGTCACAGAGCTGGGCGTGGTGGCACACACCTGTAATCCCACCACTCAGGAGGCTGAGGCAGGAGGATCATTGGCCAGTTCAAGACCAGCCTGGGCTACAAAGTGAGCTCAAGGCCAGCCTGAACTACATAGGGAGACCTTGTCAAAAAGACCAAAAAAAAAAAAAAAAAAAAAAAAAGGTCACAATACTGTTATCAGTCCTTAAAATAATAATTATTTTTAAACCATAAATTATTCAGTAAGTACTTAAATTTCTACCTTTCTTTTTTTTTGGTACTAGGAACTGAACTCAGGACCTTGTGCTTACCAAGCAAGGCACTGTACCGCTGAGCTATATCCCTGGCCCCCAATTTCTACCTGTCTTGTTAATTTTTTAAAAACTATTTTTGTTTGAATGAGAATTTATATAAGATTCATATGTAATAATTGGCTGTTGTGTCTCAAGTGTTTTGTTTTTGTTTTTTTTCTGGTATGGAGACTCAAACTCAGGATTTTGCACTTGCCAAGCAGGTGCTGTGTCACTGAGCTATATCCCCAGCCCTCAGATCTTCTTTTATGAATCTGTAGATTTATCCCCTTTTTTGGTTGCTGTTTCATTTTTGTTTTTTCTTTTTCTTTTTCTTTTTCTTTTTTTTTTTTGGTACTCGGAATCCAACTCAGGACCCTGCACTTGCCAGCAGACATTTGTGCCGCTCAGCTAGATCCCCAGATGCCTGCTGTTTAATTTTTGAAGAAACTAGCCTTTGACCTATAGTGTTTCCCAGTATTTATCTTGATATCACAACATCCCCATGATATCTTTGACCATCTAATCCTTTGTCCTCTCTGTTCACTGTGACATTTGGGCCTTTAGCTCTAATGGGACAGACTGAGGTTCCTCATTCATTTATTCGTTCATTCATTCATTTATTATTTTTTTAAAGACAAGACTCCTTCATATGTGGTCTTGTGACCAACTGTTACGATGCACTTCAATTCTGATTGTCTCTCTTTATGTGATGTTAATCTTTAATGATCAATGTTAGAGTCATTCATTTAAATTCTTCCATCTTATGTTGATTCAGCAATAGTTTACTTTTTAGATTTCATGGAGCTGATAAATTGACTCATTCTGCAAGCCAAGGAGGGGCACTATCAATTTTACTTTTTAACACTTAAAGAAAAAAAACTTGAAAAAGTCTTAAGAACTTCTAGTAAATCTAAAATCATGTGATTATAATAAAGCTCATAAAAGCAGAAATTATAATAGATCCTCTTCTGTCATCAACATTTAGGCTAGCAGCTTCTGTTGTATATATTAGACTTCGCCAGCTCACTTTTATCTACTGTCCCTCTGAGTGCTTTGACTTTCTGTGAAATCTTCCTTCCATCTCAGATCATACCTTACTTGTAATTTTAATAGTGGTACAGTATGATTAACAAGAGGGAATATTTCAGTCCTTTTTATAGGCATTGTTGTTGTTGTTATTTTTACAATACTTGGAATTGAACCAGGGCCTTTGCACTGAGCTACATCTCAGGCTTTTTATTTATGTATTTTTTGAGAGAGAGTTTTCCTAAGTTGTCCAGGCTGGGCTTGAATTTGGCAGCCTCATGCCTCAGCCTCTTAGAGTACTGAGATTGCAGGAGTGTGCTATCATGCCTGGCTTGCATTATTTCATTTTATTAACATCTTCATTTTATGAAGTAAAGACTGTTTTCTGATTTTAGAGAGGAGAAATACACATTTAAGCTAAAAGCTTAGCCAAAGGCCATACATTCAGTTACTCAGTAAATATTTTATTTAGGTCTACTTCTTTTTTTTTTTTTTTTCTTTTTGAGGGTCTCTCTTTGTAGTTCAGGCTGGCCTTGAGCTCACTTTGTAGCCCAGGCTGGCTTCAAACTTGGCAAGGATCCTCCTGCCTCAGCCTCCTGAGTGCTGGGATTATAGGTTGCGCCACCATGCCCAGCAAGGGATCAATTTTGTATCAAGCCTTGGGTTCAAACCTAGTAGTGGAGAAAGAAAGGATTGAACCTTTTTTTTTTTTTTTTTTAACCTCTTGAGCCTGAGGTCATTGTCACCTTTAATACTCTAGGCCAGTGATGGCAAGAATATTTTAGAGGTGAGGGTCCAAACTGCAACCCAAAACTCACTTACGTATTGCAAAGTACCAACATTGTAATTAAATCTCAACAGTGAAATTTTAGTTTAGAAAAAACAGCTCACATATTTACATTTTTTGTCTTAGAGGAAAACAAATAACACATGCCATAGGTTCACCACCACCACTTTAACCTATGTGGTAGGAAGGAAACTGGAAATTAAATTCTCTGTTTTCCTTTTTGTCTCTTCCTATTTCTAGCCTTTTGAATTGTACTGTGTATCCAGGTGGTACTCTGCTAACCCATGCCACTGACTTCAAGAATCATTTATCATTTTCTCTAAATAACTTAGTTGCTCCAGTATGGACTTGTATGTCTGAGTTAGTCTGATAAGGCTGACATAACAAAGTACTACAGACTAGGTGGTTTGCACGGTAGAAATTTATTTCCTTACAGTTCTTGAGTCTAGAGGTCTAAGATCAAGGAGTTGGCAAGTTTGGTTTTATTGTGATCTCTTTCCTTGACTTGCAGATTGCTTGCTGTCTTTTCAAATGTGTCCCTATATGGCCATCCTTCTGCCTGTGTCCTAATCTTTTCTTCGTATAAGGACACCAGTCATACTGGATTAGGGCCCACCCTAACAGTCCCATTCTAATTTAATTACCTCTTTGGCTCACTTACCAATATAGTCACATTCTGAGGTTCTAGGGTTAGAGCTTTAACATATGGGTACGGGAGGAGCTCAACCCCTAACAGCATGCTTGATTCTGTACATCTGCTCTACCTTAACTCACTCTGTGACTCACTCCACGAAAGCTGTTTGATTTCAGTGTATATTAGGTAACCTGTCTTTACCTGAATCCTATTCATCACAGTAATCCCAGGAAGAGAATTTCTCTTCTCTCTATTCTGCCTCTTCTCATTTCCTTACTTCTTTCACTTTAGGGCCTTGTCAGTCCTGTTTTTCCTAACCTGTCAGTCTGCCTTCAAAATCTGTCAGGTTTATTGTCCATCCTCCCGCCATTCTTTCTGCCTCCTCCTGAAATGTAGGCCCCTTCCTTTACTTTTATTCGTTTACCTTCCCACATCTCTCCTCTACTTTCTTCTTTTATATGTTCCATGTCACATCCTCTAGATTAATTTACATAAAAAGCTCTTTTGCTTATGTTTCTTTACTCCTCAAGAACATTTTTTTGACTTGTGGTGATGCACTGAATTGTGTCTTATGTTTGGGGATCTGTCCCTGCTGCTTCTGTTAAGTGTATCACCTTACCTTTCCTTTTGGTGCATCATACTTGCTGCTGCTTCCTTCCTTTTTCTGTCTTGTGGCCAGTCTGTTACCTGTCTCCTCTACCTAGTCAGTGGCAAAATTAAGAACATATTCTATCACAGAGATCATTTGTCCTTGAAACCTCTGTAACATTGATGGCCACCAGTAGGTTCTTTAAAAATAGTGATTACATCTAAATTTTATTTTTTATTTTTAAAAAATAAATTATTTATTTAAGTAAAAAATATTGTTTTAAGTACTTATGGGTATTTAAATGTATTTCTTGGGGGCACTGGTATTAAATGATTTTTGGTTGTTTGTTTTGGTCTTTTTGAGACAAGGTCTCACTATGCAGTTCAGGCTGACCTTGAGCTCACTTTTTAGCCCAGGCTGGTCTCCAACTTGCAACCATCTTCCTGCCTCAGCCTCCTGAGTGCTGCGATTACGGGTGTGTGCCACCATGCCTAGCCTAAATGACCTTGTCAGTTTTCAAATGTTCAGAATTTTGTTTTTGGTACTGGGAATTGAACTCAGGACCTTGTCCTTGCCAGACAGGCACTTGTGCCACTGAGCTATATCCCCAGCCCCTAAAGGTTTAAAATGTTAGCGTTTAGGAAAATATGATTTATTCAGCTGATTTTATTAATATAGTATCATTATTTAATATTGATATCATTATTATTATTGTTTTGAGACAGAGTCTTGCTATGCCATTCAAGCTGGCCTTGAACTCACTATGTAGCCCAGGCTGGCCTCGAACTCACGGTGATCCTCCTGTCTTAACCTCTCAAGTGCTAGGATTATAGGCATGGGGCACCACACCCAGCTTGGTATTGGCGAATTCTTTAACCTCTCTCTGTCTGCCTTTTTTTAACTTGTAAAGTGTGATGATAGCATCTGTCTCAGATGTGTGTATTTTTTTGAAGTGGAGATCTAACTCAGGGCCTTTTGCATTCCAGGTCCTTTTTTATTTTGAGACAGGGTATCACTACATTGCCCAGACTGGCCTTAAATTTATAATCCTTCTGCCTCAGCTTCTAGAGTAGCTGAAATTACAGGCATATACTACCATCTCCAGTTACCTCAGAGTTCTGATGAGGTTTCTATAAATTGATGTCTGTAATTTGTGTGTAGGGGGTGTTGCTGGGGATGGAATGCAGGGCCATGAGCATGCAAGGCAAACTCTCTACCACTAAGCTGCATCCCCAGTGCACTGTTGTAACTTGTAGAGTAAGCACTAGGTGTGTGTTAGCTGTTGTTATAATTTCTGTTAACATTTATCTGGCATTCTGTGATGTGAAACTTTTTCACATTTACTTTGATCATTTATTTCTTGTAGGCATCTTAGATTTTTAATTTGTCCTGAGGCCGTCTTTCCCTTTTTTGTTCACTGATGACCTCCCTTTAACATTTGTTTCTCCAATTCATTTGCCACTTAATAGCTAATCCTACAGTCATCTTTATCTAGTTTGTGCTAAAATATTATACCTCTGGCCAGCTGTTTAAAGCTATGTTTCTGGAGTAGAGTTATTATATATATCTTTTTAAAAAGCAACAGCTTTACTGAGATAATTCATATTCACACAGTTTACTCTTTTAAAGTATAAAATTAGGCATAAAACTTTTTTTCAGTACTCATTAAAGATGAGTGATCTAGTTTTGAGGAACCTGGATTTTTAAAGTAGCTATAAGACAAGACTAATGTAGGCATAAATCAATGTGTAGATCCCCAGATTTGTACCTTATTGGACCTGGGATATAAACTATAGTGTATACCTTTTTGTTGATAATTTTTTGCTGTCAATTCTTTGTTTTAAACATGTAGGCACCAGTTCTTCAACCAAGCGGAGCACTTCTGCAGGTAATAAAGAATCCAGTTCTACTAGAGAAAGATTACGTGAACGTACTCGAATAAACCAGAGCAAAAAACTGCCTTCTGCAGGTCAGGGAGCTAATGACGTGGCATTGGCTAAACGTTCCCGCAGTCGCACTGCTATGGAATGTGATGTTCGTATGAGCAAGTCTAAATCGGACAATCAGATCAGTGACAAAGCTGCTTTAGAAGCTAAAGTGAAAGATCTTCTCACGCTAGCAAAAACCAAAGATGTGGAAATTTTACATTTGAGAAATGAACTCCGAGACATGCGTGCTCAGCTGGGCATTAATGAAGATCACTCCGAGGGTGATGAAAAGTCTGAAGAGAAGGAAACCATTATTGCTCACCAGCCAACTGATGTTGAGTCCACTTTATTGCAGTTGCAAGAACAGAATACTGCCATCCGTGAAGAACTCAACCAGCTAAAAAATGAAAACAGAATGTTAAAGGACAGGTTGAATGCACTGGGCTTTTCCCTAGAGCAAAGGTTAGACAATTCCGAAAAACTGTTTGGTTACCAGTCCCTGAGCCCAGAAATTGCCCCTGGTAACCAGAGTGATGGGGGCGGAACTCTGACTTCCTCAGTGGAAGGTTCTGCACCTGGGTCAGTGGAGGATCTCTTGAGTCAGGATGAAAATACACTCATGGACCATCAGCACAGTAACTCTATGGACAACCTGGACAGCGAGTGCAGTGAGGTTTACCAGCCCCTGACCTCAAGCGATGATGCCCTCGATGCACCATCATCTTCAGAGTCAGAGGGCATTCCAAGCATAGAGCGCTCTCGTAAAGGGAGCAGTGGGAATGCTAGTGAAGTGTCTGTTGCTTGCTTGACAGAACGGATACACCAGATGGAAGAGAACCAGCACAGTACAAGTGAGGAACTTCAGGCAACTCTGCAGGAACTAGCTGATTTGCAGCAGATTACCCAAGAGTTGAATAGTGAAAATGAAAGGCTTGGGGAGGAGAAAGTCATCCTTATGGAGTCCTTGTGTCAACAAAGTGATAAGTTGGAACACTTCAGCCGACAGATTGAGTATTTCCATTCCCTTCTAGATGAGCATCATATTTCTTATGTTATAGATGAAGATGTAAAAAGTGGACGCTACATGGAATTAGAGCAACGTTACATGGACTTAGCTGAGAATGCCCGTTTTGAGCGAGAGCAGCTTCTTGGTGTCCAGCAGCATTTAAGCAATACTTTGAAAATGGCAGAACAAGACAATAAAGAAGCTCAAGAAATGATAGGTGCACTCAAAGAACGCAGTCACCACATGGAGCGAATAATTGAGTCTGAGCAGAAGGGTAAAGCAGCCCTGGCAGCCACCTTAGAGGAGTACAAAGCCACAGTGTCCAGCGACCAGATAGAGATGAATCGCCTGAAGGCCCAGCTGGAGAATGAAAAGCAGAAAGTGGCTGAACTATATTCTATCCATAACTCTGGAGACAAATCTGATATTCAGGATCTCTTGGAGAGTGTTAGGCTGGACAAAGAAAAGGCAGAGACTTTGGCTAGTAGCCTGCAGGAAGATTTGGCTCACACCCGAAATGATGCCAATCGATTGCAGGACACCATTGCCAAGGTATTCTTTAAATAGATAAAAATGTTCTGGAGAAGCTTATGTACCTTTTGTATACAACATACTTTTTGAGAGCCAGGAGCACTTGTTTAATATGTCATTAGCTTTTATTTAAGCTAATATTTTTTTAAAGCCCAAGAATAGCTTTCTTTTGTTGATAAGATGATAAGTAGTCCTATAAGAATGTCACTTGCATTCACAGTTTTCTTGCTTATGAAAGGATTGGGCTAGTGTTCCAGCTAACATCAGAATTTGTACCTCATTCTGGCTCTGCCTGTGAAGTGTCATGGAATTTTATATCCTCATCTCTAAAATAGCTTGGCATAAGATAGCCGAAGAACTGATATTTCAGTCCTTTGGATCAGCAGTGTCTGCCACCTCTTATCCTGCAGTAGTTATAGTTTTTCAGATAGTGTTGTGAGTTAAGAATAGTTTTGGAGTATAGGGGCTCCTATTTCTTGGAGGTCTAGTATCTGGTAAGTATCTTAGGGTTATTTCTTGGAGGTCTAGTTGCTGATAAGTATCTTAGGGTTATTTCTTCAGCCCTGCTGTTCTGTAAACATTCAGCTTAATAGTGAGGACCCAGAACTGCTGCTTTGGCATTCTGGGCAGGGCTCTGTATCCTCCTGATGGAAGTGATTAGAAGGGAGAGAGAGAGAGAGAAAGAAAGAGAGAGAGAGAGAGACTTGTTATTCTGTTTCCCATGTTTATTTTTAATGTTAGTATAGTAATCTTTAAAGGAAGAATTATTAGTACATCTTTGGCCAAAATTTGAATAACACACTTTAATTTTTTAGTGATTAATTTTTTAGTGATCCCTTTTAGAGATAGTTTAGAAGATGTTATTTTTTAAAAATTATTATTAAGTTTATTGGTACCATTTAGATATGCATAAAGATCACATTCATCATAGGGAATTTATATCTGTAAATGATATATCTTTATTCCTCTTTTTTCCATTCCCCTTCTTTCCCTTCAACCCCCTTTCCCTTCCTTATTTGCAAAGCTTTATTTACATTTTATTCTTGTTTTGTTTTGTTTTGTTTTTTGTCTTTTTGAGACAGGGACTTGCTATGCAATTCAGGCTGGCCTTGAGCTCACTTTGTAGCTCAGGCTGGTTTTGAACTCGCAACAATCCTCCTGCCTCAGCCTCCCCAAGTGCTGGGATTACAGGTGTTCACCACCATACCTGGCTTTATCCTTTTATTCTCATTTTTTTTATTTCCTTTTTTTCCTTTACCCCTCTACCTCCCTAGTTCCCCTTTTCTTTTGAATAGTTTCTTCCTATTTCACAATATCTATTGTACATTTTGGTTCTTATTTACACTTTCAGTTTCTTATACCAGAAAGATAGTGCAGTATCTATGCATTTGTCCAATTTATTTTATGTAAGACTATGATCTCAAGAGCCATCCATTTAGCTATAATGTCTCAAGTTTATCCTTGTTTATAGCTGAGTAGTACTCTATTCTGTAAAATAAAAAGCACATTTTTTAATCCATTCATCAGTTGATGGGCATTTGGGTTGTTTCCAGGTTTAGCTATTACAAACTGTGCTGTTACAGATGTGGATGTGCTTATATCTCTGTGGTGTGATGTTTTTAATTCTTTCAGGAAGATACCAAGAAGGGAAGTAGCTGGGTCAAATGGGCCTTCTAGTCCTTGTTTTTTGAGGAATCTGTGCACTGATTTCCACAGTGGTTGCACCAGTCTACACTCCTACCAACAGTGGAGAAGGTCCTTTTTTCCCCCATGCCTGCCAGCATTTGATTTCTTAATAATGAGATGGAATCTCAGTGTTGCAATTTGCATGTCTTGAGTGACCAGTGATGTTGAACACCTTTTCATATATTTATTTGCCATTTCTACTTCTTCATCTGAGAAGTGTGTATTCATCTCAGATGCCCATTTTTAGATTGAGTCTTTTAAGTTGGAGGGTGGTCTGATTTTTTTCAATTCTTCATATGTTCTAGATCTTAGTCCTTTGTTTGAGGAACAACTAGCTAAAAGTTTTATTTAATAAAAAGTTTTTTATTAATAAAAAGTTTTTTATTTCTTAAAAGGGGGGCTATGAACTAATACTGGCTCTCCTCCCCTGAGTTCAGATTAAAATTTAGGGTTTATGCTTGCTAGGGATGTGCTGTACCACTGAACTATGCCCCTCACTATGCACTAATACTTTATCTTTTTTATTCTTTTGTTTGTACTGGGAATCAAACTTGGGACCTTGTGCTTGCCAGGCAGGTGCTGTGCTGCTGAGCTATATCCCCAGCCCGCTTGTTCTAATACTTCAGCAAAGACATTATTTGAATTTTTTTGTTTTTGTGTTTAATTTGATATTGAAGCTATCACAAATAAAACATTTTTTGTAGGGAAGCATATTAATCATTAATTAAGTGCCTGTTTTTAGTCTAAGCTTTGGAGAAGGGGAAAGTAAGTTCAGTGATATTTGGTTGGTCATACAGCAACAGTTTAAGTGTTTACATCATATCTTATACTATTGTAGAGTTATGTATCACTTTTTTAAAATGGTTCTTGCAAATTGTTTTAGTTCATGCATAGTACTTTAGTAGTATGTATGCTTTTGAAGCGAACACGTGCATAGAACTTTATACTTAGCTTCCACTTGAAACATTGCTTACCTCAGTTTTAGAGTTTATTTTAGAACAACTGAACTTTTCTAAATCTGTCAATTTTATATAGGTAGAGGATGAATACCGAGCCTTCCAAGAAGAAGCTAAGAAACAAATTGAAGATTTGAATTTGACATTAGAAAAACTAAGATCAGAGCTGGAGGAAAAAGAGACAGAAAGGAGTGATATGAAAGAAACTATCTTTGAGCTTGAAGATGAAGTAGAACAACATAGAGCTGTGAAACTTCATGACAACCTCATTATTTCTGATTTAGAGAGTAAGTGATGAGATAACTTCTCAGTTACTTTTGTTCTGTTCTTTTAAATATAGTTGCTTTTAGCAAATTATTCTGATTGGCACGTAGTTCAGAGACAGTAGCACATTTGGCTTACACAATGTGTGTATGGTAAAAGTCAAATTCACACATTAATGAATAGGCTTTGAATTGCTGTATTTTGTTCCTAAAGAGCTATTGGGTAGAATCATTACTTTAAATTAAAGAATATCATGTAAGTGAAAAGCTAAGGGGGG